GTGGCAGCATTTATGCATGCTGATCTTGTACCTAAATAATGCACTAAACTTAGTTGGACTAAACTTCTAGAGGGCAAACAAAATAGACGAACTGCATTATATGGGCTGCACGTGGCACCAGACAACTAAATATTTATTCTGATTGATTCCGGACGAAAACAACAGAAGAATATGTCACTGAAATTTAATTTAACATCAACCCTCTACAGTGTTCTGCTTACCTCCATCTGCTTGGAGAACTTGGACAAAAATGTCTATCTGAAAAGCAAAATATCAAGAAATTGTAAATGGAGGTCAGACTCCATTACTTATTCAAGTTAATGATGTTAAGAGGACTCAAACCTGAGAGCGAGGCATTAGGTGTGTCAATATGCAAGCTTCCATTGTCTGGCGAATAACAAGAGATATCTCTGTGGATCTCCTACAAATAGAAAACAAAGCTATCATCAAAATGACATCATATAACCATAAGTCACACAGATCGAATAAACTCTGCTTCTTAGTTAAATAATTGTGGGTAATCATAGATAATAAGCTAAGAATCCACGTACTAAAATTTTTAGATAATTTTTACATTGTATGTATAAAATTTGTTCTTTGCTGCCTTTTGCAGTCTTATGATAAAGGGTTATTCTCTGGGCACTATAAGTATTCCTAGAACTTTGCTTTCTTTTCTACTATGAGTACAGTTACTATCCTAGTATCCTAGCAACACCTTTCATGGCTGGACCAGTGCCTGAACAGTCCGAAAGTCTTCCATTTGGTTATAGTATAATTTTTCTTATCCATCCAATAACCATTAATGCTCTATCATGCCTTCCATCTTTTGTACTTCAGTCCAGAGCCGGGATAACTGTTCTTCTGCCACCAGTTTTATACGATATTGTCCATTAAATTTTCGAGCATGTGCATCAAATTTTTTTCTATAATGGAACTGACAGCAGAGCAGAGATGATATCATCATATGGATGAAAACACATAAAAAGCAGAAGGAAGGACTTATAACATAACATGGAATCACCTGTCGCCCTTATTTTTTCTTCGGCGATCACCAGTGCTGAAATTAGCCATGCTATATTCGCATCGTACCTAAAAGAGAACCAATGAAAAGATCATATCATCTCACTTTTTAAGGTGATACATCTTACACTCTAATAATTCATCATGAAAGGTAATTTACCAGCGCCTGGTCATTGATCTGTTGGCTCCTGTTCTGGACCTGAATAATGAAACTAACATTAGAGTCAACTGAATGAACCTTTTACAGAGCAAAACTAAGATCATTGTTATCACTGATCACAGTGGTTGTGATTAGATATTTTCGTAGATGTGCATAAACACCAGCATATGGATATCTATCCAGTTTGCATCTCAGTATGATGCTTTTCTTGACTTCTAAACAATATAAAACATCGATTGTACATTCTTCCTCCGTTTCCTTTGGGGATGTTTCTTGTGATGGAGCAGACTTTTGGTGGGGGTAATGCTTCTCTGCTCCAAACCAACCCTACCCTAGCCATTTCATGCCTATCAATGAAGAACTGTTTAACCAGGTTTCTTAGTAAAATTACTGCAAAGACTAAGCTACTGAACAGTCCATGACATTATCCAAACAAAAGAATTATCTATTCCTCTCTTCCGCCACCCCACATTTGAAAAGTCAGCAGATCAACCCATTAAAAATTTCTTGTTTTACCAAGCCACATTCCCTCCACCGTGTAAGACAATGTCACACAAACTGCTATTTTACATGATCTCCCTCCTTTATAACCATTACTTCTCCTTGACAATAAAGCAAACAAACAAGAAACAACAATTTTAGTTGATTCGCAAACCAAATAAGGGTAGAATCAGAGGATTGAGTGTGACGCGAACTTTACCTCCCTGGGACCATAAACTGCAGCAATGACTTTGGTATTACCCATTTCAAAAGAAGCAGAACTGCAAATAATCGGATTAAACAAATTCAGTTTCAAATACAAAGAGATGCAGCATCAAAAGAGGGTCCAAAAACCTACACGTGTTGCACCAAACACCAGATAGAACTTCATGTAAAATACACATGTCATGCATCTAATGTTTTGGGTACAAACACCGAATAAATTACTGACGGTTTATTATATATATACACTTCTCAAAGTCTTTTTTCTTTGTTTGTTATTTGCATATGTATACATGGTTCAAGTGAAAAACAGTGGTTATATTTAACCTATAAACATTAATGGTGGTAGAAAGAAGTGTTAGTGGTTACCCATCAGCTCTTGAGACAACCCCAATTTCAGCACGAATTTGTCTCATCTGAAAGTAAAATTGCCACATAGAGGTACATAACGAGTCAAAACAAAAAGGCAATGAAGTTAAAATCAAAAAGACGGA